CGCAGTGCAGGCCCTAAATGCCATCTGAGCTGCATATGTGCAGCTCAGATCGCATTACTTGCAGACAAGCAGAGGAGTCATTTATGACAGAAGAGACCTCTCGGGTCTCTTCTGTTATAAAAACCCTGCCTGTCAGTGGATTTTTACAGAAGACAGCTTACTACCTCTTTAGAAAGTTCTCTTCTCACAGGAAGTTTGTGAGAATCATCTTTCCTGCCCAGAATGACTGAAACAGGCTGTTATTTGTAGTTGAAGTTGTCATTTGTAATTTGGTTTAAAAAAAAAAAAAAAAAAAAGGGCTGCTCAGTGTAAAAAGCCCAGGCCTATTTTTTGTCCCAGTCTTGGCCTGAAGTGAAATCATGTTCCATCTAATGTGCCCTTTTTACTTAAGTTGTATGACCGCACGCAGGAAGCAAACAGGAGATTGAGACAGGTGGCTATCTTGGATCCATGTGGTAAAATTGAATGCTGGCATTTTTAATGACTAAAAGGTGTAAAAAGATCAGAAGCTGGAAGGAAGTGACTTGGAGCTCTGCTTGGAATGACAGCATAAATCTAAGCTATTGTAACCCACTTATTTTAGGATGGTCATGGAGGTCTGGTGAGTGCACAAATTGAGTGTGAACACTAAGAGAGCGTGGCATTTGTGTTTTGGGAAGGTATTTTGTAGTCCACTATGCACGGTTTGCTGGAGCATATATTGACACTTGGATGAAAAAGCACAGTTTTTTTTAGAGACATTTATTTGTGGTTATGTATAAAGGACACAGTGGATGGACTTTTTCACTTTATGGTTTTTCACTGGATATTTATCACTTTAAATGAGTAAATAACCTCTCCCTCTCCCGGTAAGCTCTAGTTTTTTGCTAGTGCCCTTATTTGGATGACCTCTTCTCTCTACTGAGAGAAGGCTACCTTCTTTTCTCCCTCTCTGGATAATTTCTTTCCAAGATAATTCCTTCATTACTCAGCTGCACCATAACCACTGAAGCTCTTAGTGGAGCTTATAGATCAGTAGAAACCTTAGCAGAGCCCTGGCAGACTCTACCCAGACCACATCTGGTAGTGGATGTGGGGCTGGCCTGTATCCTGCTGTGGGTGCTCCCCTTGGCAATTAGTGCAGATCCATGGTCTGCCTGGTGCATGCTCATTGTGGAAGGTGAAGCCAGGACAAGGTTTAATTTTTTCTTATTCTTGCTGCTGATGTTAGCACAGGATGGAGGACTTTTAAATTTGCCCAGTTATTCTCCTTTTGGGGTGAGGTATAAACCCCTGTCCACCTAACTAGAGGCGCATGGTGTAAGGTTTCAGGATGGCCAGGGTTAAAGGAGAAGTATACCCAAAGCTATTTTGGTTATACTTCTCCTATAGGTCACAGGAGTACAGTTCATTCTGCAATCCTGTGATCCGTTTTCAGCCAACAGCATGCTAAAATCACCTGTTGGCTGATGTCATACAGCCAGTCCAGACTCTGAAAAGATGCCAGAAGCCTGGAACTGCACCTGGCTCAGCCTCTTAGTGATCAGCCAAGAGCCTTAGCCAGCCCCTTCCATGCCCCCTACACAGCCCAGCGCTCCAGTGAGCACTGGAGGGGCAGAGCAGAGAGCTGGAGACTGACAGTCACCACTTTCTGCTCGGAGAGATCTGAGCAATCATTATTTGATTGCTCAGTTCTCACTGAACAGTCGGTGGGGGACAGAGGTCATAAGTACCCCTCTCGGGACATTTTGTTAATGGGCATAGAAAACCAAAAGTATAGCGATAAAGGGTCAGATGAGCTCAAAAGCTCAGTTTTAGCCTTTCGTTTCCTTGTGGTTGTAGTATATCTGTGCAGAACCCTATTACCTTCTCCCTTTCTGCCTCTCTTCTTTTTTTTTTTTTGTAATTTGGGCTAGCCCTTGGCTGCCCCAAACTCATCTTCCTTTCTGGAAAGGTATTTTCTGCCATAATGTCAGAGTTCATGGGAAATTTTGGCTGTGCACCTTCAGCCTCCCCTTTTGGCTGTGCACCTTTGACCTTTCCCTGAAGCCAATCACATTGCAAGATGAGACGGCATCAGCTAAGGAAGATTCCAAGCCTTTGGAGCATCAAATTAAGAGGATATATCTGCTGCAACAATTTTTCATAAGCTGAAAGAGATTATTGTTATGCCTATTGAAGCTGTTTGTTCTGATTTAGCATTGGAGCAGCCAGAATCTGCTCTCCCAAGTGTATCCAGTATCTTTAAAATTCCCCTGCATCAGCTAAGGTCTTCCATTCCACACTCTGGTTTAACGGAGACTGGCCTCATCTGGAGAAGATTTTTTGCTTCTTCCAAACTTTTTGCCCTGCAATATCCTACTGAGTAGAGTTTCCTTAGGAGACAGGAAGTTCATGTGGTGGCTACAAAATAAAAGAACAAGCAAAACACAATGATTAGTGCAGATAAAACAAAAGATTACATTAACAAAAGTTGTCATATCTGAGTAATCATCACAGCATGGATCAGCATATACAGACCTGCACTGACAAAACTGAACACCTGAATTTTTAACCAGCAATTTAGCTTTGGCCCAATGCGCCAATTATATCAGTGATGGTCAAGGTAAGGAGCTCAGTCAGCAAGGTCCCTTAAAGAAACCACACAGATCTTTATAACAAACTAAAAGTATGCAATTGCCCTAAATTCTGGGATAATGGACCTACTGGTTAGCTCAAAGGTCAGGAGGATCATAATCAGGTTACTTTCAAGAATTATAATATAAATGGTAATATAAATATGGATAAAAGGTTAGAAGGATCAGAATAAAGTTAAAAATAGAGATATAAATAACAGTTCCAAAAGAACCAATTATCGTAAGTTTCGTAAAGGTAATTTGGTTTTGGGTAGAAAATAAAGATAAATTACCCCAGAAATATTAGAGCACAAAGGTTCACTATAACTGGTCATATTAAACATAGTAAACAAGATAGTGTCTGTGACAAGACCTTGAATTTTTGTAGGGGGCAAGCTGGGAATTTTGGTTATGAGAGGGCAGCAGTTCTTCTGAATATTAGCTCCCTGGATTTAGTGAGTTCAGAGGAGTCAGCCTTACAGTTGGCTTGACCAGACAAGGAATCAGTCTCAGACGTTGGGGTCTAACAGTGGTCCATACCCATGTCCAATAACTTTTGAGCATTAGAGGTTGAAGAAAAAAGTCATAGCTTGTCCGATGTCCGATGGTGCTACAATAGATCATTCTGTGAACGTAGGGGTAAAAATACACTTTGGGGATGGGGAAAGTCTTGAGTGTCTAGAGGAACTCCTTGTTGAGAAAGGGAAAGCTTCATTTTTAGACAAGGTACAGCAGATGTTGTTCAACACAAATTAAGCCAAAGTTTACTTTTAATCCAGGGGTGGAATTGTATTACATGATATAGTTGATTATTGGACAGAGGGACATCAGCTCTTGAATGATCTTTCTCCCTATGGCTGGTTAGGCAAGGACCTCACAGAGGAGTTCCAGTTGGAATTAGGGGATCTTTTGGGTGACTAGTCCAAGCACTCCCAGCTTTTGTTCTTGAAACAGGGCATACACTGGAGATTCTGTCCCATTCTAAATAAGAAGAGGGGTTTAGTTGGTTAATACTGGATACTATATATTTATATACTTGTATTCAACATGAGTTAGGAATCGAAGCAGTGAATTTTTTTCTTTACCAAAGCTGCATCATTACCTGCAGTCTAATGCAGTTTTATTTTAGATTCTATTCGATTCATGTTTAATCATAATTATTTCAAGTATCAGAGTATTTTTTAGTTATACATTAAATGGGACAGCTATGAGTGCAGGATCTGACCCAAGTTATGCCAACTAATTTGTGGGTTTCTGGGAAGAACAGTTTATTTGGTCCATGAGACCCATTTTGGGCAAATCCTGTTCTGTTTACCAGGTATATTGATTCTGACTATTTAGAATGGTTCAGATGAGGAATTGCTTTTGTTATTAGAACATTACAATAACAATCATTTTGGCATAGAGTTTAAATATGTTATGGATCCTGATCAACTGATATATCTTACTGTGGAACTGTAGTCAGAAAATGAAGTCTTGCTAGATCACTTCATGCTTGCCCTTTTGCAGGTATAGCTAGGTAAAACATTAAAAATAAGTGCCTATACTGTATAGAATCCAGTAATACACTGTTTCACCCTGCTCTGCACAAGGTCAATCGCTCTCTATTTTTTGACACCGTGCTGAAAATGTAGAGGCTAATCTGCTGATAGGCTAAAGGTTTACTGCTGTTCAGGGACTCTGGATTTAAGCAAAATGGTAGCCTCCAGCAAGAAGAAACAGGAGCAATGCTGGAGGCAATTTACAGCACATGCTAATTTTGGTACCATAATTAATAATGTGGAATGTATGTTCCCTTGCTAAAGAACATTATATTTTTATCAAGTTGTTATGGGTAAAGTTTCACTTTAATCATACATTAAAGGACCCAGACTTATTATTTATAATTCCCTGAGTTATAGGCTGCTGCTTTCAGATAACCGGACACTGACAAAGCTTTTGGGGACATGCCCCCTGGGTGCCTCCCCTATAACCCTACCACACTCTGAGTCCTCAGTTTTCTGCTAGTGTCCTAATGTGATTGACCTCTTCACCCTTATGAAGAAATCACTCCTAACTGGTTTATTATTTTATCTCTGGATTTATCAGTGAACTCTTTAATCAACTCTTCATCTCAACACTTTGTGCAACGAATGACATTTACACAGTCATGCAACACTGTACCCATATGAAATTTTTATCTTTTTTTTGAGACAGATAGAGCTTTCTTTTGGTGGTATTTAATCGCCTTTTGGGTTTTTTATTTTTTGCTAAACAAACCAAAACAGAAAATTTTGAAAAAGTTTTTTCTTAGTTTCTGTTATAAAATTTTGTAAATAAGTGATTTTTCTCCTTCACTGATGTGCGCTAATGAGGCTGCAGTGATGGGCACTGATAGGCTGCATTGATAGTCACTGATAGGTGGCACTGATGAGGAGGCACTGCTAGGTGACACTGATGGGCATTGACAGGCATCACTGATGGGAACTGAAAGGCAGCACTCATATATGACACTGTTAGGTGGCACTGACTGGCACTGTTAGGTGGCACTGACTGGCACTGATAGGTGGCACTGATTGGCAGCACTGATTGGCGGCACTGACTGGTACTGATAGGTGGCACTGAAAGGCAGCTCAGATGGGCACTATGTAGCATTGATGTGCACTGGTAGGCACTGATATATGGCATTGATGTGGCATTGATGGGCACTGGCAGGTGGCATTGATGGGCACTGGCAGGTGGCATTGATGGGCACTGGCAGGTGGCATTGATGGACACTGAAAGATGGCACTGATGGGGCTACACTGATCATCAGGGCACACTGATCATCAGTGCTCTGATCATCAGTGTACAGTGAAGGAAATAAATATTTGATCCCCTGCTGATTTTGAATGTTTGCCCACTCACAAAAAAATGATCAGTCTAAAAAAATCGAATGGTAGGTGTATTGTAACACTGAGAGACAGAATAGCAACAAAAAAATTCAAAAGAAATACATGTAGAGCAAATTATGCACTGATTTGCATGTTATGGAGGGAAATAAATATTTGATCTCCTTCATGAACATAACTTAGTACTTGATGGCAAATCCCTTGTTGGCAATCACAGAGGTCAGACGTTTCCTGTAGTTGGCCACCAGGTTTGCACACATCTCAGAAGGGATTATGGCCCACTCCTCTTGGCAGATCCTCTCCAAGTCTTTAAGGTTTGGTGGCTGGCATTTAGCAACTTGACCTTTCAGCTTTCTCCACAGATTTTCAATCGGATTAAGGTCTGGAGACTGGCTAGGCCACTCCAGGGCCTTAATGTGCTTCTTCTTGAACCACGCCTTTGTTGCCTTGGCCGTGTGTTTTGGGTCATTGTCATTCTGGAACACCCATCCACAACCCATTTTCAATGTCCTGGCTGAGGGAAGAAGGTTCTCACCCAAGATTTGACGATACATTGCCCCGTCCATCGTCCCTTTTGATGCGGTGCAGTTGTCCTGTTCCCTTAGCAGAAAAACACCCACAAAGTAGAATGTTTCCACCACCATGTTTGATAGATGGGATGGTGTTCTTGGGGTGATAGCATTCCTCCTCTTTTGGTCTCATCTGACCACAATGCTTTCAACCAGTCCTCCTCTGCATCATTCAGATGTTCAATGGCAAACTGCAGATGGGCCTGGACATGTGCTTTCTTGAGCAGAGGGACCTCGCGAGCACTGCAGGATTTCAATCCTTGTCGGCGTAGTGTGTTACCAATTGTTTTCTTGATGACTGTGGTCCCAGCTGCCTGGAGATCATTGACAAGATCCTCACATGTAGTTTTGGGATGATTCCTCACTGTTCTCATGATGATTGACACTCCACGAGGTGAGATCTTGCATGGTGCACCAGACCTAGGGAGACTGACAGTTTTGTGTTTCTTCCATTTGTGAATGAATTGCACCAACTGTTGTCACCTTCTCACCAAGCTGCTTGGCAATAGTTTGGTAGCCCAGTCCGGCCTTGTGAAGGTCTACAATCTTGTCCCTGACATCCTTGGACAGCTCTTTGGTCTTTGCCATGGTGGAGAGTTTGGAATCTGATTGTTTGATTGCTCCTGTGGACAGGTGTCTTTTTATACAGGTAACAAAATGAGATTAGCAGCACTCCTTTTAAGAGACTGCTTCTAATCTCAGCTTGTTACCTGTATGAAAGACACCTGGTAGCCAGAAATCCTGCTGAATTATAGAGGATCAAATACTTATTTCCCTCATGAACATAAAAATCAGTGCATCATTTGTTAGACGTGCATTTCTTTCAGTGCATTTCTTTTTGTTCAGTGGGCTGAACAAAAAAAGAGAATCTAACAGATTCCTCTATTCACATTGATCGGTGTGGATGAAGAAATCTCTGGCAAAATTAAAAAAACAAAACAAAAAAAAAAAAAAAAAAAAATATATATATATATATATATATATATATATATATACACAGTGGGGCAAAAAAATATTTAGTCAGCCACCAATTGTGCAAGTTCTCCCACTTAAAAAGATGAGAGAGGCCTGTAATTGGCATCATAGGTAGACCTCAACTATGAGAGACAAAATGAGAAAAAAAAATCCAGACAATCACATTGGCTGATTTGGAAAGAATGAATTTTCAAATTCCCAGTTGTAATGATTTAAAGATGCCTGTGTCCTGTACTCCAGGAAATGGATACAGCAGACCACTGGGTGTATACCCCTGTCTCCAGAAGATGTACATTAGGTGGTCTTTTTATAAAGCTGTGAATGTGAGCAAATGTAGAATCACTCACCGTCATTTAAAAACATATTACCCTGGAAAATTCACCTGCAGAGATTGCTTGTTGACCGGCAAATTCACTGCTTTATAAATAAGCCCCCAAGTAAACAGGTGTAGTAGCTCCTCCCTGTGGGGTATACCATCTTGTACATTCAGCACATCTCAGGAGTAGCTAGTAAGTAACATTCTTAAAGAATATGTAAACCCAACATTTCATATTCCTGATACATGTATCTACTGTACCATGTACTTGAATAAAAAAAGTATCCTGTTGTCTTTATATTGCTTCCTCTGTGTGAAATCCTTGGTGTTCCAGCCAGTGCTTTCCTTTCAAAAACTGATGTCATTAGGCAGGAGAGCACATCCAATGATCAGACTTGTCCTGACCCTCCCCAGCCCCCCAGCATAGCTGTTCACTGGAATTTCAGTGTACCGCTGTTTCTCCACCCTCACCTCTCTATGCAGCTATGACCATAGAGTATGTGGTGACTTATAAAAAGGGAAAAAAGCTATTTATAATGTTTATTTTATATCTATACACAAATAATTTACCTTTCATTTATATTTTTGAACTGTATGGGTTATTGAACAAGGTGAGGGTTTACAGTTTCTTTAAGGAGGGCAATGCAAAACTCTTTTGAAGGAAGTCAAATGGAGGTCATAAGGAGGTCAACTGCACCTATCAATTATTCATGACCTCAGAAGCATCTCAAACACAGACTCTAGCTCTGTCAACATGCATGACAACTAAGGAAAATGTAACAGGTGTGACATAAAATCTTTCATGCCCCAAAAACCATTTGCACTTGTACTACTAAATTCACTGATCTTTAAGCTGCTTGTTACTAAATCCAGCTGATCTGTAAGATCCTTTTGGACAACACTTGATGAACTGAGGACCAGGTGTCAGCTTTGCACACCTGGAAATCTTAACCCTCTTATTGAACAACCTAGAATTTTCCTTAATGGAATACACCTAAGCTATTCTCAGTTGATTTCACCATGCAATAGTCACACTAGATACTGGAAAACCACCCTCAGGTATGACAAACCGAAATGGTGCTTCGTGGAAAGAAACAGTACAGTATATGTAAATTCTGACTGCTACAACAACATTCAGGGAGTGAAGTGGAACTTCCTTCAGTTGTTATTGAGATGGGAAAAAAAGAGTTCAGGATTATATCATTAATATGGAAAGATGACACCACCTTTGGAAGAGAGTTTAGATAAAGTTAAAGGACCTTGTGAAGCATCAGGAAGGACTACTTATATGAGAGCGCTACCAATACAGATAGATTCTCTCCTGGCAAGGTAATAGAAGCAAAAAAATACCAGAGAATCTAACATTCATCAAACATTTCCTGCCGGTGAACCTCAAGTGCTTTTGTGTTTTTTTGCACTGATTCATTCTCCACCAAAGTTTGTTGAAATTCACTCAAGTGCCAGTTTTGAAGATAGGACACAGGAATGTCTTAAAAAGTCAGTCATAGATCAAAAAAAGTTAAGACAGTGGCTGATAACCCCTTTTTTATTTAAGAAGAAATCCACATATAATTTTGCACCTTTAAAGTCAAAATAACCACCTTGTATGTACAGTTATCCAATACATACTGTATACTGTATGTCTGATGTAGAAAATATACAATGTTTTTGAATTTGATGTATGACAATGTATTGCTGGTGTTGCTAGTGTGGTGCTACAAAGACTAGCAAGACGCAGTCTCTGATCGTAGAGCACGGGGAGCAGGAGCCTCAGCTGAGTATTTGCCATAGGACAGTTGACTGGGACTTGTAGTATCACCTTTTTAGCAAGCACTGCAAACCCATCCAAGCCTTGAGAAACTCAGAAGCATAACTTCCAGCTCTCCAGCAGAGGGAGAGACACAAGGTTTACTACGACAATGGAAGGTGGTACAGGGAGAACCTACTGACTGAAGGCAGTGAAGCAAAAATGGTCAAAAGGCAGCTGAAAATACCTGAAAAATATAGGGGACACTTGTTGAAACTAGTACAGCTTGGTAATTGCTTTGGGAATCATACAGGTGTATGATGCAAGAAATTCCCCTAGGTCACTTGAAAATCACTAAGACTGAGGTATGTAGAATTGTTTACTGCCATACATGCTTACAGATGTTCATAAGGTATCTGCCAGTGTGTTGGCAAGGCAGGAATTGTTCACCGAGATCCGCAATAGTCTTTGTGCATATTTGATGAACCTTTTAAGAGGGTGCTGGTTCAGGCAAACCATACATCTTGATAGTAGTGGACTATGCCACAAAGTATAGGGCCCTCTGTAGAAATTTACAGATGATGCATATTGTGGTTAGAACCTACCACCCACTAAAAATGGCCTGTGTGAGCATTTCAATGAGACTTTAAAACAAATGCTGAGGATATTTGTGGAATCAAGGGGAAGGGAATGTGAACAACATTTGCCCCACCTGCCGTTTTGCCTACAGAGAGTCCACAGGCTTTTCATCATTTGAACTCCTTTAGAGAAGGCTAGTAAGAGGACCCTTAGACCTAATCCAAGAGACTTAAGAGAACAAAATTGCTGGCCCCAAGATGATGGATTATGTATTAAAGCAGAGTTCTAGTCAGTTTTGTGTTAATTAAAAGTCAGCAACTACAAAGTCTGTAGCTGCTAACTTAATAAACACACACACTCACCTGTCCCACGGTACAGTGATGTGCTCGTCTGCGCCATCCCTTCTATCCCCGGTGCCGGCATCTCAACTGTGGGCACCAGGCTGTGACAGCTTGCAGATTCACAGCTGGGTGCCCACTGCGCATGTGTGAGTCGTGCTGCACCTTCTGATTGGTCTGGCAGTCTTCTGGTACCTTTGAAGTGCAGGAGGAAGGAGGGGGGCTTATCTTCTGGCTCACTTCGCCGTGGCAAAATGAGCCGAAAGTGGGAGTGGTAACCTGTCAAAACCAGGTATCCGCTAACCCCAAAAAGTGCAGGGGGGAGGAGAAAAACAAGTG